TAAGATGGATAACCATATTACTGAGTTTTGTTGGATCACTGATCAGAACTGTTTGCAGTCTCACTGTTTGAAAGTCCCCTCTATATGCTTTAATTTTGTAACTTCAACAACTATTTCTAAGATGACAATATGTAATTAACTAGTGATTTCCTATTGTTTATTTTTTCTGAAATTCTGTATATCTTGTACCTTTTTTCTGTTTTTTTTTTTCTTTTTTCTCCTTAAATAAAATTTAAAAAAAAATTGTATCTGCTTATCTGGACAGACATATGATAGGTAACTCATACTCAAGATCACATAAATCCAAACCAATTATACACATGTACACACACATGCATGTACACACCACACACAGAGAAAATTTCTCCTACACTACAGTCCTAAAGGATATTCAATTTGGGGTTGCATAAAATCACATGATCTGTGTAAGTAAATCGCTCTGTACATGAGACAGTGCTACGTTACACAAAAACAAAATTGAAAAAAAGTTTATTTGGCTTTGATGAATAACACAATTTTACTACTAATTTTAGCATATTTTACCTAGTGCTAAGAGAACTTGTAAAGTCAATTTGAGGAAATATCTTTTAAAGTTAAAGAAAGGCTTTTTATGAGTGAGAAGAAGGACAAACACAAAATCAAACAGACTTGTGTGAGAGTTGATCCAAAGTAAAAAGAAAGAAAAATGAGAGAAATACCTCAGCAGTCACAGAATAAACTGATCATTTACTAATCAGATAGGTGCAAACTGCTACTCACTTGTCATAATGATAAATCTAATGCTAAGCAGCAGCTGTTTGAGGGTTTGTACCCTCTTGCAGGATATCATCGCAGTTTGTCTATTGTTATGCTTACGTGAATGCACCTTGGTATGATGCAGCTCTGCTACTGTCACTATTCAGAACCCTAGCATAGACTCTGAGACACGAAACAAAGGACCATGAAAGAGAACTGTCCTATAAAATAAGTAATGTCCCATTCTATTTGCTGTCTCCATATATCCATCTTTTCTGACAGGCTCCAAGACACTTATTCCTGACACACCAAGAACACTGTAGCTATTTTATATAATGTCTCATTCTCAGTGGGAATTTACAAATCCAGACTTATCTCAATCACACAGTAATTGTGTGCAGGCCTGAAATAATACAGCTTCAGTTTCTCCTCCAATTTGCTGCCTAACTTCTCATCATTTTAGCGCTCTTCCAGAGCAAAGTAAAAAAGGGCAAGGAGTCAGAAATCACAGGATATTCTCCAACAGCACTGCTGAGGAGCTGGGTGGAAGAATACATTCAAACAAGCAGACAGACTCGACTGGAGCGCTGAGAACTGAGGGGAACCCACAGCCACATCAAAGATGATGGAGACACTGTCACTTATGAATAGTGTGTGTAGCGAAATGTCCCTACTTTCACAACTCATAGATCATTACTATCGACACCTCCATGGCCAAGAACCTCTCCACTGAAAACTGTGGAAACAGAACAACAGGACAGATAGGGAGGGAAGAGGAAAGGGACTGAAAAAGAAAGGTCCCTGAGTGGTACCAAAGATAGCCCACAGAAGCACCAGCAGCCAGGAAAGCCATGTTGCCTGGGATTCAGAACGTGAGCTATCTCCTCTGCCAATAAAGTTAGAACAAGAAACACCTCACTGAAAACCAGAAGGTAAGCAAGTACATAGCTGGTAGCTTCCAAATGTAGACTGCTAAAATCAGGAGATGATATCACTATACACTCAGTATGACTATGCTACAATTAGGGCCATCAGTATAGCCATGCCCTGCTTTAGTTTTTATCAATAGGTAAAATAGCCAAGTTCTACCCAAGAGTAAAACAATCTTACCAACTATCTATCGTTAGTTACACTTTTGACAACTGAATCAAAAAGAGTCTAGATGATTCTTCCCGCCCTAGACAGAAGTCTCTTGTAAAGAAAAATAAAGGAGATCACTACCAGGAAGGCCACTTAAAATTTGGAGAAAGATTCTCTCATAGACAAGGGAAGTAAGTCTTGACTCATAAAGGGCCTTGCACTCAAGACTGCTTGAAGCTCAGGGGTGTCTAAGGACACCTGAAGAGGTGACCCTGCTTGTCCTAACACAGGCACACAGTGGGATATAGTTAGTTATGTAACCATCACTCAGCACAAGTAAACATACATGCAGTGGTTACAGAACTATAAAAGAAAGTAAATATTAGACAACAACGTGCATGTAGAAGAATTACACAATAAAGACATAGGTGGTTTTTGCACTTTTACTGTCTGCTCCATTCCACGCTGCCTGCTGTTGTTACTGATGTGCGCAGACATGTGTTCTTTAACCTTGGGACCTCACCTGCAAAAGTCTCCCTTAGCCCCCCACCTCCCAGCAAGCTGACACCCTAGTAAAAAGATAACCAAGCAAAAGAACAAAAGGAGAACTAGCTATAAAGACACAAAATTTCTGGAGCTGGACACAAGGATGATAAAAAAAAAAAAAGCCATGTGAGCGCCACAAAGGAAAATTAGTGGCCAAGTGGGTATCCGACCTTTCTGAAAAAGTGTTCTGTGGAAAGTGTGGGTTTTGTAGCATCACATGAGAGCTCTGATTCACCAAGATCTAGGTGGGGATACAGAGGACATGCACTACCACACTAATAATGTGCTAGGACTGGAAGTCACATGTCATGGTTTATGTCAGTGCCCCATCCCCAAGCCTCATGCAATCATGGACACAGCCAAATCTAGCATTTGTGATTGGTTCATTGTGTAGACTCGGATTGGTGGTATGTGTGCTACACCCACCCCGGGTGCAGCCAGCATACAAAATACTGTGGGGAAGAAGGCGTGTCTCTCTTTCTCTTGCTGGTTTGCCTTGCTATTTGCAGTGGCCATGAACCTCTGCACCCCAGATATGCCACCCTGCCTTGGAGCCAGCTGCGTATGGACTGAAACCTCTAAGAACTGTTAAGAAATAAACCTTTACTTTCCTAATTTTAGGCATCAGGTATTTTGCCTCAGCAATGAAAGAGAAAAGTAACTAAAACATCACATTCAGCATGAAAGACAGAACTCGTCAAAGTCTCACCTGCAGATAACCACAAAGTTTTAGATATATAAACTTATGTCTCTCTACCAGTTTTCCCTTAACAAAATACAGACCTAGCTTTCCCAGAGTGTTAAAGGTGCTGATATTTGTGGTCACTGGGGACATGTACAGAAGGCTGCACCCCTGTGTAAATTCATTCAATTCCTGTCCCTCTTCTTCCCTTCTCCCGCCCTTTTCCTGAACTAGCTCCAGGTTTTCTCCATCTATGAAGTTAAGTCAATTCTCCTTCTTCTCAAGCCTGAACACTGACACTGGCTAACCACCAAACCCACGGACAGAGATTCATATTCTCCTCTAGGAACACAAAGTATTTTCCCAACAAGAACAATTCTCTCTTTCAGAAGATTCTCTAGCTACTACAGTGCTAACATTTTCACTACTTCCTCATGGGACTTTGTGGGACTGTTAGGCAGGGGAAATGACACAAAACACCAAAGTGCTAGCTCAAAGCCTTGCACATGGCAGAATGAAGTAAATACTGGATACCACATGATAACCATCACAGCTAGATTTAATTCCTAATAAAAACATACCTATACCAGCGCAGGAGACTAATCACTTACAGGGAGAGGATCCTGGACCCTGACTGGTTGAGGTAACTGAAAACAACCAATTAAAGCTAAGAATTCTAAATCTTTCTTCAAAGCCACAACAATCATGATAGATAGCAGGGGACAACAGCTCGTCTGCCTTCTTCCAAACAGTTACAGTACACAGCCAAACAGCAGCCCACTACCACGCAGTAAGTCTCTTTGATCACTGCAATCCATGCAAGAAGGAAATTCTAAGCACTGCTGCCACCAATCTTTCTGGAAAATTCACTTTGAATTCTGGATTTCCTTTGATAATGATACAAAGTTTTTGTTGTATGTTACAGCTCAAACCTTTTCTCTAATATGGCAACTCCTATAATTCTTCCTGCATCTCAAAACACAAAACATACACAGCCCAGTGAAGACTGCAGATTAATATGATGACAAAGTTGAACTTCCTCAGGAAATTCTCATGGTTTGGCCTTTGGCATTCCTGCCAACAAGATCTGACCTGATAGACTGCTCTCTCTGAAGCTCAGCTGGTGGACAATTGCTTTGGGTGACAGCACAGTAAGTCTGGGCATCTTGCCAGATTCCTGGAGCATCAGTTAGCAAGGCACCTTAGACGTGCCAAGCAGCAGTGTTTCTAGGCATTTAAGAGTCAGTTTTCTTCCTTAAATGCCACCAACTTAGAAGAGCAAGTTTTGTGCGTACATGAACACAAACACACACAGAAGGCGGCTCACCAGCAGGCCTTAGTTTGGTGAGCAAAACTGAAGGAATATGTGGTACCACAAACCTGCATGATGAATCACTGCCAGCTGCCCTCTACAGGGTGAATGAAGAGGAACCTGAATGCAGTCAAGTGAATGAGTATTGATCCCAGACCCTCCATCCATCGTCAAAAGCTGCTTTGATATCAACCCCAGCCTAAATGGAATTATAGGTGATATCTGGTAAGAATAATGTGAGGAAGCAATCAATTTGAGAAGCATCAAATCCAGCGCAGCAACAAGGTCTTTCAGGAACCACTACAACTGTAGTCCTGAAAACTCTCAGGACTACAACAAGAGTTGTGTTGTCACTGAAAATAGACAATACGATCCAAGCTTATCCCAAAGACCCCAAAGACCTTCAAAACAGTAGAACTAAAAGTCCCATGGTTCTGGTCCAAAGTTTCTGTAACAGGGAGAGCTGCTCTTTCTTTAGGCAAGCTGCATTTATTCTCATGTGTGCATCATGTTGCCTCATGAATCTTAACAAGAGAAATCACCAAATCAGTAAAGATAAATATTGTATGCAGCACTGCGCTAGACTTTAAATTAGCCTAATTAAGTACCCTCTCTTGAATGCCAACCCATTGGCATGCAACTCACCTTCCTCAAAGCTAGCATTCTTCTGTCTCACCAGTGCACGGAAGTTTTCAGCAGGATTCACACTCCCAACCTGGAATATCACAGACAACGAACCTGTGGTTTACGTCTTTCATTGGCAGCACCCCACGCAATACAGTATGCCTTAATGTAGTACAAGTGCTCTTAAAGACAAACAGAAGGCCATTTCTGAGACTGTCATTTCCAGGGCTCTGATAAACGCTAGCAGATTTAAGTGGTCACATAGTTGGCCCGTCTACTTTCACTCACCTTCCTTTATGTAAAACACTAACTTGCTTCCAGGGGTCAAAAAATACAAAACACTAGGTCCCAGCCAGCTCAGCTTAAAGGCTCTATGTGGTACCAACTGCCTATGTATCCTGATACCCAACCAATTAGGAAGAGGAGGATGCGTTAGTGTGGGGGTCACACTAAATGTACTTGTCTCACTACGATGACATGAGAAATCACAGCACAATGCTTGATTCACTCAACGACCCCTTTGGGAGACTGCTGCTGGCCCATAAGAATTGAAGTTTTGGTAGAATACACAAAAATGCCCAAGCTGAACATGTTCCTAACAAGTAAAAGCAGATCATATACAAAGACTTCCTGCAGTCCAGAGGGGAAAGTGCTACAGGGGCAGGTTTCAAAGATGCAACTCTTACCCATTCTGTATGGCGCTCTCTGTCTTTAATCTGCTGGTCCCAACTCTACAGGGCCTAAGTATCACTAAGCTCACAGGGAAGAAAACAATGAGGTTCCTATTAGGGCTGGTGAACCTTAGTACAAAATGTACTGTTTCTGTTTTGTTTTACAATAGCAAGCAGAAAAGCTCTTGGAACAAAAAAGATCATGAGTTTTTCCTACATTATAAAATATCCAAATGAAATCCAAATCACTTTATAAAAATTATTTTTCTATTAACTTTTTTTCTCTTGATAATGGGAATTGAACCCAGAGGCTTCTCATTCAGCTACTTCCCAGTCCATTTTATTTTATTTTTATTTTGAGACAGGCTCTCACTAATTTGCCCAAGCTGGGTTTGAACATGTCTCAGCCTCCCAAGAGTACTGGAATTATAGGTATGTGCCACCATGCTCCGCTTCAGACATTCAGCTTTTCTGAGAGTATTTCTGCTTGACATGACCATAAATGCACACGTTAGTGCCCACCTTCCTTGCTACTGCAATTTACCAATAAGAAACAATTTTTAAAACCCACTGACTCAAAATAATACTGCTTACAATAAGGTAATCTTTTCAAGACCCAAAAACCTTCTCATTAAATGAAGTCTTAAGTGTCAAAATACTTGGCTTAGGAAATCTTCAACTTGTGAATCCTGGTTCTGAAGTTGTGTATTAGAAAAGATGCAGGAAAGTTATATTAACTTAAATTTTAAGTACTTAGAGAGTAAGACACACATCATTCACCCTCACTTATTGTTTTGACTAAAGAAAACCTGCAAAATAAGGCCAACAAAAAAAATCTGTACAAAAAGTGCTACCAGTATACTAAGAGATTGAGGCAGGAGGATCTCAAGTTTAAACTCAACCTAAGTAACTCAGTGACTTAGTGAGATCCTATTTCAAAATAAAAAATAAAAAAGGGCTAGGGCTATAGCTCAGTGCAAAATACCTGGGTTCAATACTCAATAATAGGGTGGGGGGTGGGGGCGTGGGAACCTACCAATGAGAGTTTCCATGTTCTGCAAGTTATTTAGAAAGAAAGAAGTATAAGACTGACCTGCCAGGGTAAGTTCACAGACTACCCAAGCTGTACCGTCTCCCCTAAGCCCCAAGCTTCCTGCACAGGGGAGTGCACACTGGGAAAGCCCTACTTACCTTGGTGACACTGCCTTCAGCCAGGCTAGAGACACTGAACTGGGCTTCCCCTTCCTCAGTTTTTTGTTTTTTAATGGTCAGTCCCTCTTCCAGGCTAAAAAAGAAATTTTTTTTTTATCTTTAAAATAAATGGAACTCAGAATTTTTTATGTGAACAATATAAACTATTTCCTGGCATCAAAACCAAATAGTGATGGCACGTTGTCCTTTACAAACACCTCATCTCACTCTCCCAGCTGCAGGGCTCCCAGCAACCTGACCTGGAGCCACCTGGCCTTTTCCCCCAACAGTACAGAAATCAGAATGAGGTGCATCATGAAATCCTTAAAGAAGATCAAACTGCAAGCACAGGTAATGGAAATAAAACATTTCAATAAGAAACCTGCCTACCCTTCAGATATTACTTATAGTCCCTATCTCAGAATTGATAGCTGTTAGCTTTCCGTAGACTTAGAACTTTTATCTCACATTGTTGATGTAAGAACTGTATACGCTTCTACCTTCAACTGTCAAAACTTACTAGACCATCTTTAAATATCCAAGTTTCTTAAAGAATTTTTTAACTTTTTAAAAAATGTTTTTTAAAAATGCATTTAATTTCTTCTATAAACCTAACTTTACTTAGGGGAATATGTTAACACAATCTAATAGCATGTTTGGGCTATGAGAAAAACAACTTCAAGAAAGTATAACAAACACCTTGCCTCATATAACATACTGCCTTTTGTAGTGTGCTTTTGAGGCAAGAGGAGGTCAAGTTAACTGCAAGGAAAAGAAAATTCAATCTAAAGATTCTGCTATGATTTACCATACACTACAGAACAAAAAGATATGAAGATTTTTTTCCGAGTAATCGCTCTGGGACAAAATCAGGCGTTAAGAAATGTCTGTGAGAAACAAGTAAGAAATTGGTAACAATGGTCTTTTTTTTTTTTTTAAATAACTAATTTTAACTGCCAAAAAGTGTAGTTATGTATAAAACAATGTTTTGAAAGATGTGTGTGTGTGTATATATATATAGATATATATATATAGTGGGGTGGCTAAATTGAGCTACTTAACATGTATGTGTTATGCTCTATGCTTATCATCCTAGTAACCATGTACCTGGAGTACTGACCACATTATTATAAATTTGTTATAAATCAACTGACTGCGTCATCCTGCTATTCTGTATGCGTCATTCCCCCCCCATCTTAGTAACCTGCTTGCTGTGTCAACTTTTGTTCCCCTTGTAAGAGACAAATGATGCTGTGTCAACAATTGTTCCCTTTATGAGAGACAAATGTTCCTGGAATTGGCAGACCAAGGACTATGAAGTGGCTAACCACTCACTGTGAAATGCCTCTGACCTCAAGCAAAGGGGAACAAAGGCCCACCTTGTTTCTGTTTCTCATCGCTATGTACTTAATGATCAATGAGCTAATCATAAATGAACTATAAAAATCAGTCAAAATTCTAACTCAGTCGCACAGCTTTGCAAATTCCATCTGCACTGTGTCGCTGGGCCAAAGCTAAAATAAAAGCGTTTCTTCTTAAAATGATGTCATTTTGCCCTGTTCTTTTTTCATCTCAGGGGTCTTGCCCCATTTTTCATCTCGGGGGCCTTTTTAGGGAAGTACAACGTATGTTACCTCGCAGTGGCCCTTTATATGGTGAGAACAGTTATAATCTACTGTATAGTGATTTTTAACACTAGTATTGCTGTATGTTGCTCAAAACCTTATATTAAGGAAATGAATTTTGAAGAACAGGTTATCTTAAAAACAAAGCAAAGGAAAAATAAAGAAGTTGGGCTTCCTGTCGGACAAGTAAGTCCAGAGGAGGCAGGGAACCCCACCGCAGCCTGGCAGAACTCTTTTCTTCGCCTGGGGGCCAGGCTCAGGCTCCCTGTTGGGAGGAGTAAGTCCACTGGAGGCGCAGAAGCAGAACTCTCTTCTTCGCCTGGGGACCAGAGCCCGGCTTCCTGTTGAGATCAGTGAGTCAGGAGGGGACAGGGAATTCCATCCCAGCCTGGCTGACCTCTCTCCCTCAGTTGGAACAACACTTGAAGCTCAAAAATATAGGAAAATGACAAAACAAAAGACCAAAATGCAATCTCAAACATCCAGCCCATCCCAAGAAAGCCTAGGAGCCATGTGCATAAAAAAAAATATATGCCACATACCTGAAATACCTGAAATAATAGTAACTGAAATAAAGAAACAATTCTGGGAAGCCTTAAAAGAATTCAAACTAGAAATAATCTCTCAGGTAAAAGAAGAAATGATAAAAAGAAATGAAGGAGATGCTGAACATATCTAAAGAAGACACAGTTAAAAAATTGGAGGAACTAAACAAAAAGATAGAATCCCTGGATGAACAATATAAGAAACAAACAATATATAAAGCAGATGCAAAGAGATATACAGGAAATCAAAAACTCCATCGAAACTTGTAAAAACCACCTCAATGAATGTGAAGATAGAATTTCAGACCTCGAAGACAAAATTGCAGCCAGTGAACAGGAAAGGAAAGATCTTTTAAAAATAACAAGAAATCAGGAAATAACAATTCAACACCTGCAAGATGACACAAAGAGGAACAACATAAGGTTGATAGGGATAAATGAAAAAGAAGGGGACAACATAAAGGATGTCAAGAGGATATTTAGAGAAGTAATAGCTGAAAATTTTCCAAACATGAGACTAGAAACTAATATCAAGATCAATGAAGCATATAGAACTCCAAATAGTCATAACCAAAATAAAACTACACCCAGACACATAATAATAGCCATCCCAGAAATGGAACAAAAGAATAAAATATTAAAAGCTGTCAGAGAGAAAAGACAGATCACCTATAAAGGAAAACCTATCAGAATCACAGCAGATTTCTCAGCACAAACAATAAAGTCAAGAAGAGCATGGAGTGAAGTATTTCAGATCCTAAAGGAAAATGATTTCCAACCTAGACTGATGTACCCTGCAAAACTGTCCTTCAAAATGGATGGAGAAATAAGATACTTCCATGACAAAAGAACAGCTAAAAAACTACATGATCACCAAGCCAACCTTACAAAGAATACTGAAAGACAGCCTAGTTACATTTAGAGGAAAAAAAAACACTAAACAAAACAGACAATTAAACAGAACTGAAAGATAAAGATTTAACAGCAGAAAGGTAACATGTCAACAATAAACCAATATGTAACAGTTATAACCATTAATGTAAATGGTCTCAATGCACCAATTAAAAGAAACAGACTGGCAGAATGGACCAAGAAACAAAATCCAACCATATGTTGTCTACAAGAAACCCATCTAACCCAAAAGTATACCCACAGACTGAAAGTTAAAGGATGGAAAACAATACTTCATGCAACAGGAACCCAAAAAAAAGCGGGGGTAGCTATTCTGTTTGCAGACAATGTGAGCTTCAAGCAATAATAATCAGAAAGGGATAAAGTAGGTCTCTACATCCTGGTTAGGGGAAAACTCCAAGAGGAAGAGATAACTATCTTAAATATATATGCACCAAATTCTAGAGCACGCAGTTATATAAAAACAAGTACTAACAGAAATGAAGAATCAAGTTAACAGTAACACAATTCTAACAGGAGATCTTAATACACGATTGACACCAATGGACAGATCAACCAGACAGAAAATCAGCAAAGAAATAAAAGAACTGAATCACACCTGTGAACAAATGGACTTAATAGACATATACAGAGTATTCCACCCAACAACAACAGAATACACATTCTTCTCAGCAGTGCATGGGTCATTCTCTAAAACAGACCATACATTAATTCACAAAACATATCTAAATAAATGCAACAGGGTTGAAATTACCCCTTGCATGCTATCAGACCATAGCGCTATAAAATTAGAAATTAATGATAAAAGATACTACAAAATTCCCTCAAACACATGGAAACTGAATAACACACTCTTGAGTAATCAGTGGGTCACAGAGGAAATTAAAGAAGAAATTAAACACTACCTACAAGAAAATGAAAACACAAATACAACTTACCAGAATCTGTGGGATGCAATAAAAGCTGTCCTCAGAGGAAAATTTATTGCCCTGAGTTCACACATCAGGAAAACAGAACGAATACAAATAAATAACCTGATGTTACACCTCAAACATCTAGAAAAGAGCAAGTCAACCCCAAAGCCAAAAGAAGAGAAGAAATTATAAAAATCAGAGCAGAAATCAATGCAAGAGACTAAAAAAAAAAATCCAAAAAAAAAAAAAAAAAAAATTCAATGAATCAGAGTTGGTTCTTTGAAAGAATAAATAAAATTGACAACCCCCTAGCCAACCTTATTGAAAAAAGGGAAGAAAAAGCTCAAATTCATGCAATAAGGAATGAAAGAGAAATCACTACAGACCCTATAGAAATACAGAAAATCATCAACACCTATTTCGAAAACCTCTACTCTCAAATGGACAGATTCCTAGAAGCATACGAAGTACCAAAGCTAGGTCATGAAGATGTAAAACTACTGAATAACCCAATTTCTATTAATGAAATCGAAAATGTAATTAAATCCTTACCTACAAAGAAGAGCCCAGGCCCAGACAGATTCACTGCAAAATTCTACAAGAAATACAAAGAAGATCTAATGCCAACACTCCTCAAACTCTTCAATGAAATTCAAAGGGAAGCAAACCTTCCTAAATCGTTCCTAGAAGCAAGTATTACTCTAGTACCAAAACCTGAAAAGGATCAAACTGAAAAAGAGAACTACAGACCAATCTCCCTAATGAACACAGATGCAAAAATCCTCAATAAAATATTGGCAAATAGGATGCAGCAAGTCATCAAGATCATACACCATGAACAAGTGGGATTCATTCCAGGCATGCAGGGATGGTAAATCAATAAATGTAATACACCATATCAATAGAGCCAAAAGTAAGAACCACATGATCATTTCTATAGATGCAGAAAAAGCTTTTGATAAGGCCCAACATTCATTTACGATAAGAACCTTGCAGTAAATTGGAATAGATGGTCTTTACCTCAATATAATAAAGGCCATCTATGACAAACCAACAGCCAGCATCATACTAAATGACCAAAAATTGAAGGTCTTTACT